TTGATGTGGAATATTCTTGTCCGATTTTAGATGACGAAGCATTTAGGGTTTAAGCGAGGATTAAAGAGATTTATGTTCTGGCTGTAAGATTTGGTTCTTCGTGCATCGAAGTGACATAATTGAAATTCCCGATCTATATAAATAAGAACGGGCTGTATACAACAGTCCGGGATTTGATTCTTCGTGCATCAGATTAACATGTTTGAATTTCCCGATCTACGTAAATAAGAACTCTTTCGAGATAGTTGACGATCAGTGAAGTTGTTTTGAAGCTTTAGTTCGTGTGCTTAGACATCGGAGCAATGCGAACATTGTTATGCTATTCGGTTAATTCTTTTTTCATTCGGTGTAGGTGACAACTGGTGATACTCCATATTCATCAGCCAGTACTTTTGAGGATCTGAATCTATCTCCAGAGATTTTGAAGGGGTTGTATGTTGAGATGAAATTCCAAAAGCCAAGTAAAATTCAAGCTATAAGTCTACCTATGATCTTGACTCCTCCGTACAAAGATTTAATAGCTCAAGCACACAATGGTTCTGGAAAAACTACTTGTTTTGTGCTTGGGATGTTGAGTCGCGTTGATGTGAACTTGAAGGCTCCTCAGGCGTTTTGCATATGTCCTACAAGGGAGTTAGCCATGCAGGCATAAGTTCCCCCTTTCTTTAACTGAATGTCTTTGGTACTTATTTATGCTAGATCTTGATTTTCTTTTATATTAATGTTAATATTACTATTATTGCAGAATATTGAAGTTCTTAAGAAAATGGGAAAATACACTGGGATAACTTCAGAGTGTGCAGTTCCTGCCGACAGTGCTAACTATGTACCTATGTCAAAGCGACCACCAATAACTGCACAAGTTGTGATTGGAACTCCTGGCACAATAAAGAAATGGATGTCATCGAGGAAGCTGGGAGTAAGTTGCGTGAAGATTCTTGTTTTTGATGAGGCTGATCATATGCTTAGCGAGGTAAGTTATTATCTATAAACTTTATATGCATTTGTGCCCATGGAAGTAGTCTGATCTCTTCTTGATGTGTTACTCAAGAACATTGTTTCTTCATGTATATTTTTGTATCATTAATGATGGTCCATGTAATTTTTGTTTTGAGTAATTGTGAGGATGAGTATTGTAGTTACTTTTTTTCTTTTTCTTTTTTTTCTTTTGGTTACAGGATGGCTTTAGGGATGATTCGTTGAGAATCATGAGGGACATTGAGAAAAGTAGCCCTCATTGCCAGGTTTGTCTATATTATTAAACAACCGTATGCATATGTCATCATTTAATCGTGTGATTATATACTTGTTCATTCAACCATTTAATCTCGGTTGTTTTCTTCTCTAAAAAAAAATTGTCTCAGGTGCTTCTGTTCTCTGCTACATTCGATGAGACTGTTAAAAACTTCGTCTCTAGGGTTGTCAAAGACTACAACCAACTTTTTGTTAAGAAGGAAGAACTATCCCTCGAGGGTGTGAAGCAATACAAGGTGATATGTCCAGATGAATTAGCAAAAATTCGGATCATAAAAGATAGAATTTTTGAACTTGGAGAGAAATTGGGTCAGACAATTATATTTGTGCGCACAAGAAACAGTGCAAGCATGTTACATAAGGCACTGGTTGATTATGGTTATGATGTGACTACCATTCAAGGGGCACTGACGACTGAAGATAGAGACAAAATAATAAAAGAGTTTAAGGATGGTTTGACCAAAGTTCTCATTTCGACTGACCTTCTATCTCGAGGGTTTGACCAGCAACAGGTGTGTGGATATCAGTTCCCTATCTTCCCTTTTGTTGTTTTGATGGTACATCCCATTACTTGATGCCTTTTCAGAGACCCCTGATATATCTTCTTTTTCTAGGTCAATCTAGTTATCAATTATGATCTTCCTCTGAAATATGAATCTTCTTCGGAAGCGATGAAATTCAGATCTTCCTCACAATCTGAGCCTAACTATGAGGTGTACCTCCATAGAATTGGTCGGGCAGGTCGTTTTGGGCGCAAGGGTAAGCTTCTCTTTCTAATATGCTTATGTATCTAAGTTTCTAGATCCTTAAGCAACTTTTTAGGGGTTAGAATCAATCTCTTAGACTAGCTTCTTAATAAATCTTTTGTAGTATTAATTGTAATGAAGAATCACTTGATATCTTCTTGGTATTTGGTTAACTGAAAACCCATGGCTGTTGTGTGATCGCTGCAGGAGCTGTGTTTAACTTGCTCTGTGGTGATGTGGAGATCATGCGAATGGACAAAATTCAGAACCATTTTAACTCTGAAGTAACAGAGGTAAGATTCCTTCTCTGGGTGATCACATTTGAATTCCAGTCAGTTTCCTGATCCTGCCTAGATATTGAGTTTCTATCTCAGCACCTTTTGAAATTTGAATTTCCAGGTTCGGGACTCTGATGAGGACATTCAAGCAGCCTTGAGAACTGCTGGATTGCTTTGATGTATAGAGGTGAGTTTACTGCCAACCCGCACCAGAGGCGATAAACATTGAATGATTGGATGCAGAAAAGTAGATCGGAGTGATGCTTCCCCAGTTTTTGTTTTGCTTTAAAGTAAAATACATTTGGCTACGAGGGTAATGTAATGTGTTTTGAGTTGTCAATTTCCGGCAATGTGGTTAGAATGTTGTATATTGTGAAGTTATGTTATTTACAGATTTTACTGAAATCTCTTGGTTGATGAAACCCATTGAAATTATTTGGCTGGCTTTATTATAAGCAAATGTGTTTTTATCATAGAATTTGTGAAAGGAATGAATTTGTAGGCGTAATGTTTGTAGGTGTAATTCAGTTGCCTTTATTACATTACAGAAGAATTTTGATACCACGAAAATGTTTATTGAACCTACCTTACAAAAACAATAAAGGAAAAAATAATAATAAAGGAATACATTTGTTAAATCGGGAGAATTTTGATACCATGAAAAATGTTTGTTGAACTTACCTTACAAAAACAATAAAGGAAATAATAATAAATGAATGCAAGTATAGGCTATAGTGTAAGGCAAATATTTAGATATTTATTAATATTTGTCATATAATAAACTGTATTTGTCTTATAATAAACTGTAATGTAAAGAGAACAAATATTATAGGCAAATATGTAAAGAGAACAAATATAGATATTTGTGTTATAATAAATGGTCTGTAATGTAAAGAGAACAAATATAGATATTTGTGTTATAATAAATGGTCATAGACCAAAATGTAAAGAGAACAAATATTGTAGACCTGTAATATAAGGCAAATATTTAGATATTTGTATTATAATAAAGGGTCAATTTAGGTAGTTTTCAACCAAAGAATTAAAATAATAAATTATAGATTTTGGGGGCATTTACATGATTAACGTGTTACTTTTGGATATTTTTAAATTTTACTAATTATCAAACTTCTAAAAATAGATACTTAATATCCGTAAATTGATTGAAACAAAAACAAGTATTTTTATGCAAATAATGAAATTAGATTAACATTAAAATTTAAAGTTTAACAAGAATTACATGGAAATAGCAAAATTTATGTTAAAATTTTACGAACACAAAACAAACAAGAAAAAAAGTTGAAATTTTTAATTGAAGGAATATTTGTGATCGTTGACTTGCGAGCAGATAATCCAATATATAAACCAATGTTGCTTACCTTGACGCTCCCATGGTGGAACGCACGTCGCCTAAGTAGTGCCTCTCCACCTTCTTCCTTCGCTATATGAACCTCCGCAACCCTCACCCATCCATACACACACACACTGCCTTTTACAGACACCACAACATCAACATGGGACCTCTATTGCGGCTCACAATGGCGGCTTCTGTTCTAATCGGCTGCATCAACATTGTAGCAGCGACGAACGAATACGACATCATTCATATCGGCGGAAAAGTTCTCTGCCAGGACTGCACCCAGGGGTGGAACGAGTGGATCAATGGCAAACCGCTCAAAGGTAATACAGAATTATTAGGGAACAAATTCCACCTTTAAAATTGCAATCGCTTTCTCCGATTATGTTAATCTTCGACGATCTGGATTGCAGATTGTAAGGTATCTGTAACGTGTTTGGACGAGAGAAGCAGAGTGATACACTATACGAGTGATCTAACCGACGAATTAGGGCAATTTGATATCAAAATGGAAAAGGTGATGCACGGCAAGAATTTGAACCCCAAGAAATGCTCGGTTCGGCTAGTTTCGTCTCCGGATCCGTCCTGCAACACCATGACTGATTTTGCCGGCGGCCGCTCTGGCGTTCAACTCCGGGGACCGAGCTTGGTGTATCGCGATTTGGTCAAGTATGTGCTAGAACCATTTTACTTCACTTCGCCTATGTGCGAGGAACCTGATACAGATGGCTCCGATGATAACGGTGGGGGGAGTAATTACTGAAACTCCTCTTTTTTTTTGTTCTGCATTCCAACTTTGCTGTTACTGATCTTGTGAATCCATCAAATTTATAATATTTTTATCACCATCTTTTTACCTTTTCTGTAATTTCCTAAAATTTCTAAACCCTAAACCCTTTTCCTAAAATTTCTAAACCCTAAACCCTAAACGAAAGTCAAAATGAAGAACTAAACGATCCTAAGTGCAAGAAACAGATTCTTAAAAAAACAAAAGAAGCTTACAAAGTACAATAAACCTTTGCCCAGTAAATTTTGAGAAGCCCACGAAGGAAAAACATAATATCTAGTAAATTATATTAGACTTTTAGATATCGGACGGTGAGCCAACGAGAATATTGGTCCTCAAACAGGACGGATTGTGAGGTCTTACATCAGTTGGAGGGGAAACGAAACATTGCTTAGAGTGTAAAAACATCTCCCTAATAGATAAGTTTAAGATCATGAGACCGATGGTAATGCATAACAAACCAAAGTAACAATATCATCTTAATATGCACTAATCGAAGGTATTGCTAAAAAGTTAGATTAAAATGGTATGAAATGAACATGTGAAAACATCATTTGATAAATACCATCAGTATCACATTGCATAACTATGTATGTATGTATATATTTTAGAAAAGGTTAAATTACAAGTCCAAACTCCGATTAATGTACTTATGATGAAGTGTTAATTACATAAAAAGTAGAGAAAAATGAGAAGGGGGCCTGGGTAGCTGCTATCAACTTGTAAGCTATGATAGAAAAATGATGCCAAACAAAACAGCACAGATATCATCTTTACAACCATTCATCAAAGTGAAAAGAATCAACTTATTATCATCACTAAAACGAACCCACACAAACTGGTAGAAAACACATCTGGGATGGATGATTCAAATGATTTCAACCTCCACCCCTGAAAGAGAACAGCTTGTAGCAGTAGCAGTAAGGCAATAAATTTTGTCGGTTAAGAATATACCTCACTGCCACTGTGATCAGTATTGTGCGGTTTAGTTTGAGGTGGTTCTGGCAGCAAGTTGAATGAGAGCTCGCCGGTGGTAATCCATACGCAGCTTCTTGTATTTATGAGTAAATGAACTCAAATCTATCTCTCTCTCAAGGAGCTGCATGTGCACCTTCTCCGACTCCTCTTCTGTCTCTTTCATTCTCTCTGCAAACAAAACGTTTCAATAATCTGAGCCAATTTGTGACCACAAAATCCGATAACGACTATCACGATATACCTTGAAGCCTTTTGAGAAGTGAAGCAGGAGAACAGAGCTTCATAATGTCCTCTTTCTTTCGGTCAAGCTCGTTTAGCTTCTCCTCGGCCGCTGCCAATTCCGTTGTCCGAATAATTCTGCACTGTGAGAGAATAAACAAAAGGGAGGTAGCATAAAGGGCAAGAGAATTCACCATTTTCTGATAAACCCATACCTGGTTTCTGAGTTCCATGATGCGTGGTTCCTTTTCCACGTTCTCACCTTTTCAAGTTAATATCATGATTAACATTTGTCCCGTAAAGATGTGCTTAGAAGAAAAGGCAAGCATAAAAGTCACTGAAAAAAAGCAATGTTACTTACTAGCAAGCTGAAGAGTTTCCTTACGCAGCTCATCTTTTAGCTGGTGACATATAAAAAAAATGAAAAAGAGAAGGAACCAATCAGGAACAGTTTACATAAAGAGAGACATAACAGGGACCAACTATAGAAACCACATGATAAACATAAGAAATCGTTAAGCAAACAGTTCCTCGGTAACACGAGTCAGTTATGCTAAATTCAGTTGTATCTCATTCACATAGTTATCAAAAGGTTTAGTGATGGAAGTGCACGAGGAGGCATTGAAACTCACCACCTCCCGAACTTCATCACACGACCTCTCCACCTCTATAAAATCATACGTTTCCTCTCAATCCTATGATGCTATTCTTGAGATATTGCTAGCTCCCACCTTTAATTGAAAATAATCAAAGTCGGGAAAGATATAATACAGGAAAGAAAATCCTGCAAATCTTAATATCGATTAAGAACGGTTTGTTTCTTTGATAAAGAAATGAACTATTCATTGAAATAATGAAAATAGAGAGGATGAACATCCTATGCTTACAAGCAGTATACTAGGAAAGATGAGGAAAATACTCCGCAATTTGCTAGTATGGAATCAGAAATAGAAAGGCTGCATGAATAGTTAAATAAACAATCTGCTCGAGATACTTGAGAACCATCAGGTGAACATATTAGTTCTCTTCTATCAAAAACAACCCAATTAAACTTGAACTAAGGGAAGAAACTGTAGCTTACATTGTTCTGAATTTTGACCTGGTCAAGTGAAAGGAGGAACTGATTATATGCATCCTTGTCTGACAAAAGCTTTCGCAACTCATCAACACTGACCAAATTTAAAAGGGGAGAAAAAAGAGAGGGATCAATATCCTGAAATGACGAAATAAAGAACATTGAAATCTGGTTCGAATCATAACAAGCATTTGAATAAAAAAATTTGTACAACGGTACCTATAAACATGCAAACATCATATATTAACTTACAAGAATGATCACTTAAAGAACGTCCTTGACGAGAAACACACACATGTAGCTTTATTTCACTAATGAAGTTCAAATCTTATTAAAACACACACAGACACACAAAAGATGAGTGGGTTTTCCACTCCTCAAAAGCATTAAAAATTTTGGCACTAACATTGACTGAAAAGGTACATAGGTACAAAGAGCCAAAAAAAGGAAACTCGAACTGCACAAAAATAATCCAAAAACCATAAACTTCTGAATATGAATGAGAATCAAGGAAAGCAGTGGGCACAAGCATAATTTTTTGTAGTCATGGACCTGGAGCTTTACCTTTTGTCCTTCAAAGCAGAAATAATGCCGGCAGCTTCAGCAGGGGAAACGTGTGATGGAGACTGTGGCCTACCAGAAAGCCTTTGTGAACTGGAATGATTGGAGGAGGTGCTACCTGGGGTTGCAGGGCGAGAGGAGCTAACAGAGGGTGGATACCATGACTGTGTGGTAACATGTTGTGGAGGACGCACCTGTTCCTCTTGAGATCCCCTGAAAGTAGATACAAAAACACTCAGAATGGGTCAATGACTTTGCAAATCATACCAAGAAAAACATCGGTTTAAATGGAATCAGATCTAATCACGATTCAGTGAAAAATGTTGCAAAAAAAACATTTCCTTTTTAAATGAACTACGAGGAAGTACACTGCTCAGTAATAAAAATAGTGTTGCCAAATTCAGATGAAGGAATGCTAATCCTTTTCCAATTGTTGATTTCTGCAACCAACATGAAAGAGCATACACTCTTTCGAAAGTTGTATGTGGTTGCTTTATGCAAGTACAAACTTTCAACTGTTGCTTCAGAAACATAACAGGGGCAACAACATGCTTCCGAATGATTAGGAAAGGAGTCCCACATCGGCTAATTAAGGGGATGATCATGGGTTTATAAGTAAATAATACATCTCCATTGGTATGAGGCATTTTTTGGGGAAACCAAAAACAACGCCACGAGAGCTTATGCTCAAAGTGGACAATATCATACCATTGTGAAGATCCGTGATTCATAACACTCACTCTTTTGCTTGCATTAGTCCATCACTTCTCACCTAAGGTACACTGCGAAGAACGTCTTAAAAAATAAAATGGTAGGGACCCAATAAATTGGATTTGCCAAGTACCAACACGGCATGGGGGAAATGCGTGGGACTCAAAATGCTTGAATGCGGTCCGACCAAGCTCTACGCAGAGTAAACATGTCCCTAAGGATCCTCAAACGAGACGAACTTACATTCTCGGCGATATCAAACTCTCAAACGTTTTCCTTTGTCGTGCAACAAGAAAATTTGAAAAAATTGAGCATAAAAGCCAGATGTCGTGCACGTCAAGCAGATTCTTGAACAAAGGAAGTTCAAACAACAGGTAGCGATACAGATACAAACAATTAAACCTCTTAATTCACAGCCACAAAATCGAAACCAATTATGAACCAAGTCGGTCTAAAATCAATTCGTAACGAAGTTGAGAACGCAGCTTAATCAAGAAAATGATGCACAGACTGGCCGGAACCCCCAAAAATCGAACAATCAGAGTTGAAACCGACTAAACAAGAGAAGCCCAATCCAAATACATGAAATTAAACACGAAAAAGAGAAAAGAAAAAAAAAAAAAAAAGAACATACCAAAACTTGAACATAGGTCGGAGGATAATTGATCCAGAGAACAAATGATATGAAGAAAAGCAAAACCCTAGGATGAAGAATCCTCCGACCGGAGAGAAAGGATCCGGCGGACAATTAGACCTCGAATCCTTCTCTATGCGCGTAATCGCTTTCTTAGGCCGGAATCAAACACCAAATTTTTAACCGATGGAGTTCGATGATTACTCCGACTACTAATATCGGTGCCGTCGATTTCTCAATCGTTCTTCTATGTTATTAACTCGTTGCTTTTCATTAAAATGGCGCGTAGAGTAAATTTCGTGGAATTTAATGTGTAGTTTTGTTTGTTTTAAGTAAATTTAAGGTTAATTTATACATAAAAACACCCTCATTTATAAAAATAATAATTAAAAAAAAAAAAAAAGTATTCTTATTATTTAAAATGTAAATATTAGCTTTTATATTTTTTTCAAAATTGTATAAATTTATTAAAATATTTAACAAAAATGATTGTTATTGGAATCCGAACACCGACTCTACCACAATTGTAGGTCCCACTTCTCATTCAAATATTATATTTTAAAGAATTTCAGTATTTAAAATATTTATGATGTATAAAAACTCCTATTTTGTAGAAAACTAATATTTTACCTACAAAATAGGAGTTTTATTATATAATTATTGCGCGGCGGCGCTTGCCTTCTCCCCTTTCCCTTCATCCTCCGGCGGGACATGCCGCCGCCGTAATGCTACTATCGCCACCGCCCAGGACGAACCAGAAGAGGCGGTGTTTAGAGTTGAGAAAAGGAAGACAGGGCAGCGGGTTGGGCGGCGGGGGAAGGGCATGTGGGCATTTTGAGAGAGATGAGGTTAGATGCTTTTTCATTTGTGGGAGAGATCTTATGGAGATTTGATCAATGTGATTGAATCATAAAGTTACAATTATTAAATGATTGATTCAACACAACCTAGCTAATCATGTTCCTTCCAATATTTCTCATTTCTAAATTACCCCTCAACTTTATTATTCTCTCGTTGTCACCCCAATTACAACCTAACATACGTGTCATTGTAGGTGTGAAAATTTCTCCATAACAAACGCGTTTGAATATATATATATATATATGGGTTCATAATCACGCTTTATAAGGGTGTGGAAACCTTCTTCTGGCAGTCGGGTTTTAAACCCTTGAGGGGAAGCTCGAAAGGAAAGCCCAAAGAGGACAATATTTGCTAGCTGTGGATCTAGGTCGTTACAAATGGTATCAAAACTAGACACCGGACGATGTGTCAGCCTTCTCGCTATTCTCCAAAGAGGGTAGACACAAGGCGATGTGCCAGTAAGAACGCTGAGTCCCAAAGGAAGGTGGATTTTGGGGCGGTCCCACATCGATTGGAGGAAAAAAAAAGAGTGCCAGCGAAGACGCTGAGCCCCGAAGGAGGGAAAGCCCAAACCCAAAAAGAAAAGTACAAAGAGGACAATATCGGTAGATGTAGATCCGAAAGAGAGCCTTTTTTTGTCAAGGGTGTCCCACTCACGCGCCTCTTTCCTCTTACAGTTTTTTCCCCCTAAAAAAAACATTCTTCACTGACACATTGTACTTATACTGCCATCTCCCATTTTACGGACAAATTTAATTATATATTTTAATAAATATTAAAATATATAAACTAAAATGACTTTTAACTTAAATGGTCTTGCCTTAATATTTAACTTTATTTGTAATATAACATGTTGTTGTCGTTATTTTAAATACAAAAGATAAAAGTAATTAATATTTTTTTATCTTATCTTCTAGAAATTATTTATTCTTATCCTCCGTACATTACATATTAATAGCCATTTTTAATTAACATGTCAAGAAAAATACAAATAAATTAATTATAAATTATAAAGAAATAAAGGAATAATGGAGGAAGCACTTTATGCCTACACTCCCACTAAAAATGATGCTTAACAGTTCATTGTCGCTGTTATATGTATATTTATTTATTTATAATTGGTTTTATAGTTACTTTATTTATTTATTTGTTAAATATATGCTGAAAATTCTAAACAATTATTGATTTTGGATATGTATATTATTTTAGGGATGCATTTGGATGACTTCAGAGAGCGCCACGTGGACAAATCACATTAAAAATTAAAAAATCTCAATTTAATAAACTCATTAACAACCTATTTGTTTCAATAACCATAATGCCTTTTCCTTAATATACTTACTATTTCAAGAATTATATATATGTATATATATTTCTTTTTACTACAAATCTAAAATGGCAAAAAAAAAAAAAAAATGGTTGAATTTCTAGCCAGAAAAGGAAAAATAGAATATATATATATATATATATATATATATATATATATATATATTTTAATTGAGAGATCCAAACTTTATATAAAAGATTAGAATCTCACTCCACTTCACATGATTCATCATCCACTAATCAAAATTCCCTTTTTTTCACCTTTTTTATCTTTAATATATATACATAAACACACATACACACATATATATATATATAATATGGGTTTGTTTATGGCAGGGGTTTTGCCATATCCTATCCCGTCGGCGCAATACATGCAATGCAACACACCTTCCTTAAATAATAAGTTAATTAAAAAAAAATGTAATGATTAATTTAAATTTTAGTTAAATTACCACCACCTTTTAAAACTATATATATATATATATATATATATATATATATATATATATATAGTTTATGATTTTAATTAAAAGTTTAAAATTTTAATTTAACAGCAAAAAAAGATGTAAAGACGTGGGACGTGGCGGAATGATAGGCGTTGATGGAAATGGGAAGAATAAGATGAAGAGTAGAGGAAAGGGTGACCTGGTGCCAACGTAGAGACGAGGGGAAGATCCAAAAGCAGCGTAAGCGCGAAACTTTGCCATCTCTGTCAATTACATCCAACGCTTCTGATTACTCCTCAGCCACCAAATCCCATCTCCACCGTCCATTACATACATTAACCTTGTCCCTTCACTCTTGGCCTATTCATTTGATTCCTCTCTCATCTCATTTCTCTCGTGAGAGAGTTATGAGAATAAGGCAAAAGCTCACATTTTTTCCGATACCCATTTCCAATTTCGCTCATCCAGAGGAATTATCGTATTGGTAAGCCAAAAAGGATTCACATTTATTTCTCTGTTTCTTCTTCTTCCTTCCACATTCTCATTTCGTTTTGTTTTTGCTTTAAAATCGCAAAAAAGATGAAGCAGAAATCAGTAATGTCGGCGCCGCCGTGGCTTGAGCCATTACTGACCACGCCCTTCTTCTCAATCTGCCACACGCACAGCCACGCGGCTAGGAGCGAGCGGAATATGTACTGTCTCGATTGCCACACTGACGCATTCTGCTTTTACTGCCGCTCATCGCACCACAAGGACCATCAAGTCATTCAGGTTGGTATCATAACTTTTGGGAAATTCTAAGACATGGGTATTGTTAAGCATTGTTTTTTAAGAAATGGGTTGGTTTTTGATTGTGGAAATTGGTTTTAGATTAGGAGATCTTCGTATCATGATGTGGTAAGAGTTGCAGAGATCGAAGATGCTTTGGATATCAGTGGTGTCCAAACGTATGTGATTAATAGCGCGAGAGTGATGTTCTTAAACGAGAGGCCTCAGCCAAAAGCCGGGAAAGGAGGAGCTCATATCTGTGAAATTTGTGGGAGAAGCTTATTGGATCCATTTCGTTTCTGTTCCCTGGGCTGTAAGGTCAGCATTACTCTGTTCTTCATTAAATCCTTCAAAATTCATCATCATTTTGCATAATTCTATGGCGTTTATAGCTGGTAGGGGTGAAGAGAAATGGGGAAGATGCGAGCTTTAACGTGGAGGCGAAGAAAGAGGCAATGGGGATGGAAAGAAGAGAAGGAATTTCATCGAGGAGAAGGAAGGGTATTCCTCATAGGGCACCTTTTGGGGGTTAATTCAATGCTGCCTTTCCAAACCAATTCATTCCATGATTTGGGGTATTTGTCCATACAAATATAGGGTATGTCCCTAAAAATCGAAATAAAATGATTAATTTTGAAAGGGTATTTGGATGTGAAGAGGCAATAATGGAGGGATTGTTATGTTCATAATTGCTAGTTGTATATTTGTTTATTGAGAAATTAAAAATAAATAAAGAATAGAACATGTCTTTGTGGAGTCCGTTTCATGGTTTTTCATGGGCCCATTATCCACATGGGCCGTTTATATAAATAAATACTTTCATTCTATTTTATTATATCCTTTTTATGGTTAAACACCCATACTCTTCTTTATTTAATTATGTTCTCTATTTATTTATTTCTAAATTAAAATTATTCTAAAATCCCCGTTGGCCGAGACAAGAATGAAACACGATGTGGAAACTTTTCCCTAGCAGATATATTTTAAAAACATGAGCGAAACCTCTCTGATTTTTAATATTAATTTTAAATGAAATTAAATTAGGGTCTGCGGGTAGCTTTTGTACCAAACTTTTATTATAATTAATAGTTTTTTTACTTTTCTTAGGAATTATTACATTTATATCACATTTATTAAAATGAGATATAGGCGATTTAAATAAATAAGAAAAAAAAAAAAAAAAAGGTGTGGGATAATAATGTGAGGTGGAGGGGTGTATTTGGAAGAAAATAAGTAGGTAAAGGGTTGATGTGGATTGATGGATCTATATGTTCTTAGTGTTGAGGATTATTGGGATTGGGAGTGTCCCACATTGGTTAATTTAGTGGAAGATCATGGGTTTATAAGTGAGGAATACTAACTCCATTGGTATGAGGCCTTTTGGGGAAGCCCAAAGCAAAGCCATGAGAGCTTATGCTCAAAGTGGACAATATCATACCATTGTGGAGAGTCGTG